TCTACGTCGACGACTGCCTTGCGGGTGCTGACTCAATCGACGAAGCCATTGATCTACACCATCAACTTCTCAATCTGTTTACCAAAGGTGGCTTCCTACTACGCAAATGGAGTTCCAGTGACCCTGCTGTGCTGCGTCACATATCTTCAGAACTTCGGGATGCTCAGTCGACGCATCACATACCTAGCCCCGAAGAGTACACAAAAACTCTCGGCATAGAATGGAACGCCAACCTGGATCACTTTCGTCTAACAGTCGCCTCATTACAAGACATCGACAATGTCACCAAACGGGCCTTGATCTCCGACATAGCCAAGACCTTTGACGCACTTGGCTGGTTCTCACCTACCATCATCGAAGCCAAGATCATGTTGCAACGACTGTGGGAATCAAGGATCGGATGGGACGATTTGTTGCCCCCTGCCATCTACCAGTCGTGGCTCCGATGGAGATCCGAACTACCTCTGCTGTCCGAAAGACACATTTCACGTTGTTACTACTCCAAGGATGCCGCTGTCGACTCCATGCAACTTCATGGATTTTGTGACGCCTCAGAAGACGCATATGCAGGTGTCGTGTACATTCGTGTCCAAGATGGAGGTGGGAACGTACACATCTCGTTGGTCGTCTCAAAGACCAAAGTAGCTCCTATCAAACGGTTGACGATACCACGACTCGAACTCTGCGGCGCTCAGCTACTTGCAAAGCTCCTACACCACACCATGCAAGCCTTGGACATCCCAACTCAGAGTGTCTATGCGTGGACCGACAGTACGATAGTCCTCAGCTGGCTGATTGGGAACCCGCGCAGATTCAAGACCTTTGTTGGCAATCGTGTATCGAACATCGTGCAACTCGTTCCACCTGACCGCTGGAGTCACGTCGACAGTCCTGACAATCCAGCCGACTGTGCTTCTCGAGGCCTGTTCCCTTCAGAACTGGTCCAACATGAATTGTGGTGGAACTCTCCCAATTGGCTGAAACTAAACTCCACCCATTGGCCAACTTGGTCACCCACTACGTCGTCAGAATCTCCTGGTGAAGAAGAAAATAATATTTGTCTGCATGCAGTGATCAACAAGCCGATCATTCCCTTGGACCAATCCTCCTCGTTCCTACACCTGAAACGTGTTACGGCATGGATTCTACGATTCATCAACAATTGTTGTCACAAGAAACCAGACAAGTCCTCTTACCTGTCGACTGCGGAGCTGATTGAAGCAGAAACCTATTGGCTCTTACTTACACAACAAGCCTTTCCTGAGGAGATCGATGCTCTGAAACGTGGCGATTCACTGTCCAATTCCAGCCCTTTATTCTCTCTACATCCCTTTGTTGACTCCTCTGGGTTACTCCGTGTTGGTGGTCGGGGACGGAATACGGAGATGTCGTACTCAGTCATTCACCCGATCATACTCCCTGGGAAACATCCAATAACTTCACTAATCGTTTCATCGGAACATCGACGACTGATGCACGCTGGACCCACACTACTCGCAGCGTCACTCAACCGACGATACTACATCACCGGCTGCAGGAAGATTGTGCGTTCAATCACCCGTGGTTGCATAACTTGCCGACGCACTACGGCCAAACCCAAGCCTCAAGTTCTCGGACAGTTACCCGTTGAACGCGTTACTCCTGATTCCGTGTTTGACCGTGTCGGACTCGACTATGCAGGACCATTCACCATAAAGTATGGATCTACCCGCAAACCCACTCTTGTCAAAGCTTATGTGTGTATTTTCGTCTCACTCACCATTAAAGCTGTTCACTTGGAGCTGGTATCAGACCTCACGACTGATGCATTCATTGCCGCTCTACGCAGATTCATTGCTCGACGAGGCAAGCCTTCGCTCATATGGAGTGATCATGGCACAAATTTCGTTGGCGCAGTGCGTGAGCTGAAGGAGTTCATCGCATTCTTCCAAAACCAGAGAACACAAGGCCTCATCTCAGAGTTTTGTGCCATCCAGAGCATCACCTGGAAATTCATTCCTGAGCGTACTCCCCATTTCGGTGGATTGTGGGAAGCGGCGGTGAAGAGCATGAAAACGCACCTGAAGAGAGTAGTTGGGGAAACCAAGCTGACCTTTGAAGAGTTCGCTACAATTCTCGCACAAATTGAAGCCTGCCTGAACAGCCGACCTTTGGTACCTCTTCCCTGTGAGGGTGATGTCATCGAACCTCTGACTCCTGGCCATTTTCTCATCGGAAGACCTCTCGAAGCCCTTCCCGATCCATCTGCATCTTACCAATCAATTTCTCTTCTGCGACGATGGCATCTTTGCCAACACATCACTCGCCATTTCTGGAAGAGGTGGTCTACAGAGTACATCAATATCATCCGTAGGTACGTGAAGTGGCACCACCCGTCGCGAAACATGCAAGTTGGAGATCTCGTGCTTTTACAAGAGGACAATCTCGTACCAACAAAGTGGCCCCTGGGACGAATTGTTGAAACACACCCAGGAAAAGACGGATTTGTACGCGTTGTCACTGTCCAAACGAGTAATGGAACTTACAAGCGTCCAATAACCAAGATTGCGTTGCTACTCCCTAATGAAAACTGAACTCTTATTGTTCATCATCTCCCACTAACTCTCATTCTTTGTTATTTCTCACGAACACTATTACTGATTGTATTTGCATCTCACTTCTCACATTGTCATTTGAAGACCATCCGGTCTTGGCCGGCGGTATGTTCGATCTTTGTATCACGCAATACGCATTTCAATTTTTCTGTAATACGCAAAATTAGAGTGAGCAAGAAATGTCAGTCAATATGGCGTGCGAAACTAGCGCTGGCTCCCTGACTCGAAATCCGCTCGCATCCGGGATGGAACTCTAACAGTTAGTTTGCGATAGAATGTGGCATTTTTTCTTAATGAGAGTGGGTATGTGGCAATTACACTTATTGCTAAAAGAATGCATGTGTAGGCACTCATTTAGTAGTAAGATACTGCTTTAATTTTCTGGTTGGTGATTTAAAAAAAATGTATAGTGACCCGTCTATATTTTTATGGTTAGTTTGCGATAGAATGTGGCATTTTTTCTTAATGAGAGTGGGTATGTTGCAATTACACTTATTGCGCATGTGTAGGCACTCATTTAGCTAGATAGTAAGATACTGCTTTAATTTTCTGGTTGGTGATTTTGAAAAATGTGTAGTGACCCGTCTATTTTATGGTTAGTTTGCGATGTGGGTATGTGGCAATTACACTTATTGCTAAAAGAATGCATGTGTAGGCACTCATTAGCCCTCGGCGCGCATGCGCAGCGAGGGTTACAGTAGTCGTTCTGTCTGTCTGTCTGTCCGTCTGTCCGCGCGAGTTCTAGCACTACAGGCTACGAGGCGGCCAATGAGTGGCACCAACAGGGTTGTGAACGACGAGAAGATTGATATTAACGTGGCGATTTTCCCGAAACGACTGCGTTCCAGAGATATGGCGTGAAAACAAGCGAAAAAGCCAACGCGCGGTCGATCGCGCACGCGCCCTCTCCTGCAGGCTAGCTATATAGCGCGCACGCGTCATGTCAATTAATCGCCGGAGCATGCGCTTGGTTGTATATACGATCCACGGCCTCCTGTCAGTTTTGATCTCTGTTCCCTATGGATAAACGATAAACATGCTGAGCAAGGTATGTTCGCAATGTAGCATAATAGTTCAGGTGGCGAGCAGTTTGTGGTTGCGGCCTTGCCTTCCCATCTATAAAACGTCTGGCGAGAGCATTGAAACACAGAAGAGCAGATAGATTGAATAAAGCAAATATGAGAGCCTCTGAAACACCTGAGCTATTGCTCTAACCGCTAATGCAACTACCCTGTGTTACGGTGAGACTCGTGTTACTGGCTCCGTCGATGACGCACGGCCCAGCATACAGCGATGCTACAACTCGCTAGTTTACCGCCGAGGGTTTGCACTTTAGTGCTTTTCATTTCATCTTATTTGGTGCTATGATCTATCTGCACTTGTTTCCTCTGTTACTCTATGAACAGCTGTCTTCACTGCATTTTGATGAACACCATTGACACGCATGGGTATGTTGTGGAGATGTTCATTTGCAATACAGTTCTACCTTGGTGACCGCTCTGTGTAACAAAGTGAAAGCACAGTTGGCATTAGAAGCTAGCATTTTATAGGGACTGTGGATTTGGGGAGGCAGGGACGCGGAAAGCACACAAGGAACGACTGTCGGAATTCTGTTATAAAAAAGTAGAGTTAGCTATAGATAGTAATGAGTCCTGTTAAAAAAGCAGATTTAACTGTGATGATGAGAAAGCAATGGACAACAGAGAGTAAAAAGGGCTATATAGCTACATGCCATATTGATATATACATTTTGCCGAATAAAAAGTACTGGCTACCTAGAGCTAGTAACCTGGCAGTATAGGAATGCTATATATTTATGGGGCTTACTTGGTGGGTGACATGATAAAGACTCCAATGTATTCCAGAAGTTACTGGGACGATGAGGACCATCGCATCACGTGACGGTTTCTTCAACAGACTTTGCCTTTGCGTTGTGTTGTTTTGTATTGCAGGTTTTTGACCTTAGCCTGCTGAGTTGCCTTGGTAGCTAGCTCACTGGTAGCTAGAGCACTTGTCCGGATAATGTGTTCCAGTCACACCTATAAAGGGCAGCTTTTTGTGTTGACATAGCTACGTAGGCGAAGACATCGCTTGATGTATGTATTATGAAGGTGCACGACGAGTATATAGCTATTTGTTCTGGCCTCAAATAAAATAAGAAACGTCTATATAGGGTTTTGATGCATCAAAGTACGAGTAATTATTGTAGAAGATTGTTCAAGGTATAAATCTTTCAGAGGCAATCAACAAGGGTCAGCTCCATATCGATAACAAAATTTAGAGGGTTCGCTAGCGGGCTAACCATGCAGGCCGTGGTTTGCTGTGGGCGACGTTACGGTCTACAAGTAAGAACTTCCTCATTTTTGTACTCTGCCAACCTTTAGCCCTATAGCTATAGCTATGACAGTAGAATGCAGGATGTGAACCTGCGCTTTCCTAGAATTAGAAACTTAGCTAGGCTGATGCGTTACTGCGCGCAAGAGTCGGCCCGCGCGCGGCCGGCGGGCGGTATTATAAAAGGAGCGGAACATGCATTGCAGTCGCAACTGGAGCTGGTCGGAAAAGAAATGATCAGCACGGCTTTTTCTCTTACGACGGTCTTCTTGCTGGCTGTCACTGCCTCAGTACAGGATGCAGCTGCGAGTAAGAAGCTTTGTGTGTTTCCATAGCTACACTCAATAATTTGCCATTCCTCTCGTATAGTTGTTCCACCAGACGTATTCTTGAAGTTTGTGCAAGGGGATGCGAGCGCGTTTGCACTGATGGCTGAATGGTCTACTACATATAAAAAGTGGGAGTTGCTACAACGGGATGTTAATACGAAATACACAGAAACAACTGACCTTACCCGTTAGTCTTTTTTTTGTTCACCTCTTTGTTATGCTAACGGTTTTTCCACGTTCTTTCCCTTAGCGTGTGAGCTTACCTGTCAATACGATGATGCAAAGAAGGAGATGAATTGTGTCGATTCTAATCGACAGACTTCCATTGAGTTACAACAAACGGCACTAACAGCAGGTAATTTCTCTTGTCATATTATCCTGAATAACTTTACACGCATTGCTGAGTTAGCTACAGCTATGGCAACATAACAACGCCCGGATGAGATTTTTTTAGAACAAATGTGGATCCTATTCACAGAAACGCCCAGATAAAAGAAAATTGAAGTATGTCTTCACCTTCCTGACTATATATAGAGCAGGAGTGAGTTTTCATACGGGGCGCTGTATGTATGTACGTAGCTTATAGCTACTGTAGTATAGGGATAGGAATGTGACACAGTTGTAAAAGATCTACCCTATTCATCTTGTGAATTATTATGATGCACGAGTGTGTACGACTTGGTTCTGCGAAAATTATCGTCATCAGCACGGGTTGTTAAAAAGAGAACCGACAAGCTTTCAATTTCCCAAATGTCACAATAGCCTCATGTAAAATTGTTAGTGGCAAAAACATTATGCCCATGTCCCATGTTTTCTTATACATTCTGCTCCTTATCTAGGAGATATAATGAAGAGAAATAATGCATCGAGCAGTGTTCACGCCAAAACATTAAATGAAACGTATCCATTTAACTTTTGATGCAAAAGGCATTTCCACTAACATTCCATGCATTTTTAATTTGTAAGTTTCCAATTCCAATAGATGCGGACCTGCTCTTTGCACATGCGCAAAGTGATCGCGAAAATATTTTGGTCAAATCGTCTAATACAGAATTATATTGACGGTTTTGTCACACACTCCGTATGTTAGCAGTTCCCGCTGAACTCGCGTTTGCTTACACCCACTCTGTTTAATTTTTGTGTGACTGGCAACTGGTCCACTACAATTCCTTAGCAAAAGGCTACTTTATTGCTACACGTTAGTGTTAGTATCGCCTATGCTCTTGCCAGTTAGAAAGCATGGCCGGATAGTACCATTGGTAGCTGTGTAGGTAAATGGAATTCTTTTAGTTATGTATAGGTTATACGATGGCGGTGCGCCCTCGTGCCCTATCAAAACTGGCCACTCGTGTACAACCAGTAGACCACAAGCCAATGCCATCGTATAACGTTTTCGTATGATGACGGTAAGGCTCTGACCAATGAGATTGCGCAAAAGCTTTCAAAACGCCCTCTTTTTAACGCACACCCTCGAGTGTACGGCTAGCTAGCATCGATCGGGAGAGAGACAGGTGCAATAAGCGCTTTAGGTCATTTATCGAGAGTTCAACGTTACAGGTACGTCAAAGCTATACTTTTTCGCTGCTAGACTCCATACGAGTTTTGTAGCTGCCGCTCTGGCTCGCTTTCTCTCCCGCTATACCCAGCACTCTCGAATTCAGCCTGTTGCAGTAGCAAGAAAGCTGAAAGTCACCGAATACTCTTCCAGTCCACGGGAGCCTTCGCTAGTTTTCAGACCGCGTATATACTAGTGCCTATTCTAGCCTGAAAACACTCCCTTCTGGTAAAGAAACAGCAGCACACAAAGAGTGTAAAAGCCCCCAATTGCATTCCACGCTGCCAATTTCCTACTATCGTCTAACTCCTGTAGACCCACTGTGGTTTATGCAAATAAGTTGACATTCAGCTAAAGTATGGGAAAATTGTATGGCCTCTTTATGTTCTAACAGACTGAGCAGGAAGCGCTCACTACGCATCTACGTTGTTTGGACTAGCTGGAATTCCTTTGATCTTACTCTCAGTCATCATACAAATATATACACATCACCGGCTCTCCAGATGAACCAAGCGAAAACAATAGCTTCCAGCACTGCCAGCGATTTCCGCCTGGAGTATATAGCTGACAATTTAATTCAATTATAGCTAAAAATTTAGGTTAAAACTTTTCATTATATTCAATTTGGTAGTTGTAGCTCTAAAACTTAATTATGGACAATTTATTTGTGTCTGTCACATGTCCTTCACAAACATTCAACTATCTCTAAGGTACTGTGACTCCTCTTGTGTGTACTACAACGGAAACGAAAACTACTGGTAGCCTCGGACTCCAATGTGAGGCATCCAGTACAGACAATTTCCTCCGAATTGTCGTTAACATGGCGAAAGAAACTGCCCTTCCATCAGTACAGTGCTCCCCTAAAACCATTGCAACAGGAGTTGAAATAACATGTTCAACCACATATAGCACAATATCAAAACTGTCGTACTTCTTCCATGGAAATTACAGGCCAAAAGACTGGTGAGAAATAATTTCGCACAAATTCCATTAACTATTTAGAGCTTCTGTGTACAGTCTGTTACTCCATGAAATTCTTGTTGTCTCTCTATTTTCAATTTAGATGGAACAAGTATAATTATTACGTGGGACACTTTTCAGCCTGGAACAAACCCAATTCTCATTTTAGTAACTTTGGGAAATGGAGATTTGCACTATTTTTCTATTACCGTGGATGCAGATCTCATTTATACAGGTATGTGCATCTTACCATAAAATTAGATGGCACTAGCATTGAACCTCATTCCAATGAAAAGCACTAAAGTGCAAAACCCTCGGCGGCATGGTAACACGTATGTGGGTCTGTCTATATATTATGTGTAAGTGCTAGTCTGTATAGCAATATTATTTGTCACAATCAGAGTGCGTAGCTAACTTTAGGCCAGTGAACATGTTAAGAAGATCCAGACTGGCTTTATAACAGGCCTGAAATGAGAAAAAAACAGTGAACATGTCCTAAAGCCTAGAAACATAAAAATCGAAGAAGACGATGACAGAAACTACCATCATCTCATCAAATCACAAGTACACAACATCACGCGGAAATCAGACAAATTATACAACACTTTGGTTCCAGGACTGAGAATACGTATCACCATCACGAATGAATGACTCAAGTATCAGTAGTATCCTGAACAGTCAGAGATATAATATACTGATGAACAAAGTTAGCTTGACCTGGGAACAAGGGCTGTTAGCTAATGCGTGCGTTTGCGCGCATGCTCTGATAGACTGAAGGAAAAAGGCTCTGTAAAACCTGTGCGAGGCTAGCGTTCATCCGCGCTAGCCCCCACCTTTGCTAAGAGTTGGCACCTATTATACGGGTAGCTTTCACAGGACTACGACGAAAGAAGCAAAGAAGCCACACTAGCTCAGTGTCTACGCATGCTCGATGCATACACATGCAATCACAAACGGGTAAGAAAAAAAAACAAAAAAGCAGTAATGTATAGATATACACAAAGACATTCACCAACAAAAACAAAAATAACAAAAAACAACAACAAGTGTAGCTAACGACACAGGCGAGGAGGAATTATTACCCACAAACGCGCTTGCCAGTTTAGGCGCGGTTGGTGCAGTCGGGATACCCGCTCAGCTAGCTATATACTTAGCGTTTTAGATTTTTTTCTCTAGCTAAACTAGCGTTTAGATTTCGATGCACTCTTCACTCGTCTTCTGTTGATCGCATTCCACAGTGCACAAGGAGCAGAATCCGGGCGGGGTAAGCCAATACTAATTAGCAATTGGCTTGTTCACTTGGTTTTCACGCCATAACTCTCGAATGCAGTACTTATACGAAGATCGCCAAATTTACTGAACTTTTGGTATCGCTGTTTTGTTGTCTCGTTGCGCGTGGTGGCAAAAACGTTGTAACAGACAGACAGACAGACAGACAAACTTACGGACCAAGTACCGTAACCCTTGCTGCGCATGCGCGCTGAGGGTTAATTAGCTACGACAAAATCGTTCATGTGCGAATGATAAGCGAGATAATCTCAAAAGCATACATTTCAATAACACCCTGGAGGACACTTTTCAATGTTTCTTGATGTTCGGTGCTTTGATTATTAATTGTTCATTTACTCTTTTGATGTTTCCTTAGTTTGTGATGTGCAAATAAGTTTTTTGGATGCCGATCAGAGAAACATCCGTTTTCGAATTCAAGCATCTTTGCAGAAAAATATAAATATCAATGGAGGAACATACAATATACATAGTACATTGGGAAGTAAGTGTGTGAGAATATTTTCTAATCTAAGCTTTCTTTAAGGTGTTAAGGTTAATTATGCTTGCAACTTTTCTGTTGACGTTCTTGCTTGCATTATAAATAACATTTTTCTTCAATATTCGGTAACAGACTTTGCTGAAGATTTGCTATTGGTACCAACTGCACTCTTGAAAGACGGAAAGAACACGATAATGATATCTGTGTCCGTGACATGTGGTGGTTTCTGGGTAACACTACAGAAAGAAGCTTATCTAACGGTTCAACAGCCCGACAAACTGACAGAGTTGATATATGGTCCTCCATCAGAGCCTATAGAAGGGGACAGCTTTCTTGTAACAATCAGTGTGAAAGGAGATGGAGTCGATTTTCTTATGATGGTTGAGGCAATGGGAGCCCAGACAATCACTAGATGGTCGTGCACTCTTGGAAAAGATGAAAAAAAACAACCAGGTAGGCACAAAGTACACTTTATTTTGTTGCTTTGCTCAACTATAGATACATACTTTTAATTGTTAAGTTTTCTCTTTGCAGATAGTAGCCCCATACGATTCAACAGAGGTGCACTTGAAGAAGGAGATAATGTGATATTGGTTGTGGTTACTGGAAGTGATGGAGGCACAGTAACAAGGGATTTCATTATATACTACCTGAAATACATTCCATCAACTAAAAGTAGGTCTTTCAGGGTAATAATTATTATACTGCCTTTCCACTTCACAACCTCATGTTAATTCAGTTTGTGATGCCAAGTGTGTCACAACTCCACTTAGTAGTGGCGTTAAGGTTGTCTGCAGCACCAGTTCTGACTCAATTCAATCAGTCCAATACTCTATCAATGATGATGGAAACCAGATGGAAGGTAGCTTTGATTCAGTTTCATGATGTGTCTAAAGTAAGAATTTCACTTTCTTTCTATATAGCTCAAATGTCGACATTTGTCATTACCGACAAAGTAGCCTGGAGGAAAGGGAGTAACATGCTTCAACTCATTGTCGTCTGTGACAATGGTGCACAGGGCAAACAGCCAACAGTTGAGATAACCTGTATGTTAATAGTAAAATTAATGTCCCATTATTATGATCTACGATTAGTTATAATGTATGCGGCCAGTTGGATGTAAAGCAGTCAAGGATGAATACAGCTAAAAAAACTCCCTTCCAGGTGTATGACTGTTGTAAGCCCTATAATAAAAAAATGCCTACGTGTCTATTATTATTCATGCTAATATTAGCTAAACACCAAGGTAGCCAAAGTGAGAGGAGTCATTTGCTCTCTCTCCTACAGTGACACCTCCTGACCTGCAATGTCAAGTGATGTACTCACCATGTGACATTGAAACTGAAGTCACTATCTCATGTAGCTCTACTACAACTGCACAGAGTACTAAATCCTGCAGCCTTGATGACAATCAATATACAACACAATGTAAGAAATTCCTTTCACGTATGTATATAAAATAGACCAAAATCTAATATTTTCATTTGCAGGTGGATTGATAAACGTTTTAAAATATGAAACGCTAACCCTAGGCAGCCATACATTCACCGTGGATATGACGGACGTTTTTGGATTGAAAGCAAAGAGTGAAGTCGCTTTCTCTGGTAATTTGGCAATCAATCAGTAACTAACAGTAGTGCTACCTTACCATGTTTTATGGATTTAACCGTTCCATCAGATATAGAGCTACATGTTTCATACAAGTTCTATAATGGTATATTATAATAAAGAGTTTTCAGCAGCATGTATAATACTTTTCACAACGGACTTTGTATGAATTATCCATAATGGAGCTGCGAGTCTTTTTACAAGTAGCTACCCATTAACAAATAGAATGTTGCACCATTCAAGATAATGCCAATAACTACTCCCTTTTGTTTCTGACAGCGAAATTTGAGATATGGTGCACTGGAGCCTGCAATTTTTACACGAAATTAGTCTCAGTCTCCTGTGAATCCACGTATCCTGCATCATCTTGGACAGTATCCATCAATGGTGGCACAGCTGAAGACCGTAAGTCCAACCCCATTGGTGCTTGTTAACAGAAAAAGCTGATCATAATCTCAAAACATTAGTATATAAGTGATGAGTGGGGGCAAGGGCTGCGTTACTATATACAGCATTCAACTGTTCTTCCAGCACCTTTGATCAGTCATCTGGGGATGTTGATGAATATGTAGTGTAAAGAAAAAATATTGAATAAAACAGGCTTGTTCCTGTTAGAAGTGCCGTATTCAGTAATTTGGAAAGTACATTTTGTTTCAAGTAAACTTATAGCCAACAAAATTATCAGGCAAAAGTAAGCAGTTTAAAAACATCTAAGCATAATATTTTGGTAAAGGAAGAAATTTTTTGCCTTTTTATATGCACAGCTTAGATGACATTCATTATGTTGTAACAGCAAATCGGTTCACTAGAAATTTTTCACATTATTATTTAAAGTTCCCTATAGTACACAGCCGATAATAATGATGTACAAATAAATTCAGCCACAGAATGTTCTACTTACTGCAATTCTAACACTGCGCTAAAGATCATTGTTTTACTGACCAGATATCAAAAGAAAAAAAGGATTTTTCAACTTCTCCAGAATGACGTCGCTATGTGTAGCTAATCTGGTAAAAGATTGTGATCAAAAACCAGAAAATGTTTGCTTTCAAAAAATTAGGACAGATAGCTGTTCCTTTCCCAGTCAGTTTGATCAGATTATGTTTGCCTTCCTTGCATGCAGTGTTTACCGGTATTCCATTTACTTTTGTTGTATACATTGTAGGTAGCCAAAATTTCGACTTGGATTTAAAGGATGAAGACCTAACTCAAGATCTAACACTGGAGATGACAGCTATAAACACCAGCGGCGAAAGCGCCATTGACACAATTTTTTTGAGGGGACAACTTCTTCTCTAGAGAAGAGACAATAACATGCTAGCTGTCTTCAGACAGTAACTTAGTGTAGAATGAGGGAAAAAATTATAGTATATAGTAAATACTAGTAGTAGTAGTGGTGGTAGTAGTGGTATATAGTGAGAATATGAAATAGTCGTAGTAAAACCCAAAGTAAAAAACGAAGAGCAGGGACGAAGATGTTTTACACTGATAAGTAGTGTTTACATGCAGTGTATGAGGGCAGAGTCTCTCTCAATATTATTGGGTCAACAAAAGTGTATGACAAAGAGAGCTTTTCCTAGCTTTTTGACACCCTCTTTCCTCTGTCACCGCTCCACACCGTGGGTGGAAGGCTCACCCTTTTGCACTGTGCTCACATTTAATGAACTACAACATTAGGGTGTAAAAGAGCATGTCAGAGTATGTAAATACAGCATGAGAGCAACTGTAATATGTACTTGCAAGAAAGCACACACAGAAAGATAAACACTGAATAGAAGTTTCATCAGCAAGAGCAGAAGAGACTCAACCACGGAAACACCTCCAAGGACTTGCGTATAGGCAAGAGGCAAGAGTGCAATAATGCACAAGGCAACTAAAGCACTCTAGACACGATTACAACATGATATGATGATGATGACAGTAGTCAAAGTCCATAGACGCGCTAAAATATTCCACGCTTCTTTTTATCCGAAAGGCTATATACACACGTGCGTATACCCCTTTCGGTCACATTTACACACTTCAAGAAAACTCGCACATTTCGTAACTCTGACCCTGTAAGCGGGCGGCATGGCGGCATTATCTCACCCATGCGGTCGGTCGGCACTTGGATGTGTCGGTTGGAGCTTTGATGTTCCTTTCTCTACCCTTTCAAAAAAAAAAACAAGGTACGGATTGAGTGAGACATGTCATAAATGTCTCAGCAGGATGAAAAGGCAGGCACAGAGGCTGTGCGTTGGTCTGTAAAACGTAAGAAGAAGACCGCCACAGCGCGCGTGCGCGGGATTAAAGGGGTGTGTCGATTTGGGCAGAATGACGCATGCGTTCGGGAGATTTGCTGGATCAGGCGCAGAAGACGAATTCGGATATACGCGTGTGTGTGGCTCCTTATACTCTCGCAACCATGATCAATACTGAACATGCCCTTCGTCGTCGAAGAGAGAGGGAAAGAGAGAACATCGTGCCCGTGAGACTCCTGAGCAGAGAGAGGCTCGTCTGTATCAGCGTCGCTTGCGTGTTAGGGAACTATTTTTTTTACATGCTGCCTAGCTGTCGTATCGATTCGAAATCTAACCAGCGAAAGAACTCTCGTCTATTCGCTGGCATTCGCTGCGCTCTTCGATACCTGACCGAGGCTGTATGATACCTCTTTCCAATCTTCGTGGTTCTAAATAGGCTAGGATGGCTCGTGCAATCATTGTGTGCTCGTGTTGCTTCTGACTCAATAGCTTGTAATCTTGTTCTTTTTGGGCTTCCTGAAAGTGGTTCGATTTTGGAGCTTAAGTCCGATGTAGATGAGCTTCTTGAGTACCTGACAGGAAAATCCGTGAATATAAGTGATGTCTTTCGTCTTGGAAAATACTCTGTTTCTTCTTCCAAACGTCCTCGGCCTATACTGATAAAGCTTGCTACGGCTTGGGATTGCAAGATCATCTTAATCTAAAAGCGTAAACTTAGAGACTACATAACTCCCCGCCTGTTCTTACGTGAGGATGTTCCACCTGACCATCGATTTCGACAGAAGGCAGAGCACCCTTTCCCCAAGGACAAGGTCTGAGAAGCCACCCTCAGTCCCTGCCAGCTCTGGTCCCACTCACTGGTGGATCAGGCGCAGAAGACGAATTTTCATCAGAGAGCTTAAGTCCGATGTAGATGAGCTTCTTGAGTACCCTATACTGATAAAGCCCACATCAAATGCCCACATTTGCAGATTTATTTTCATCTAGGTTTTCAGGTGCTCTTCGTTTTTTAGGGTTTTGCACTTTAGTGCTTTTCATTGGAATGAGGTTCAATGCTAGTGCTATCTAATGGTAAGATGCACATACCTGTATAAATGAGATCTGCATCCACGGTAAAAGTAAAATAGTGCAAATTTGTATCTCTTGCGCAGTGTTAGAATTGTAGTGGAGGTACAAAATGGAATATGGGGTATGAATTTGGAAAATGGAAACACGAAATGGAAATTGGAAGGATGGCACTTGTCGGCCACTGTAGATTTGTGCTTTCTTCAAGAACATTGGCTGATAACAGATCAACTTCATAAATTAAATACTATCAGTGATGATTTTCTCTCAGTTAGTGTAAGTGGTATGGATAGCTTCTCATTGCATTCTGGCCGTCCTTTTGGTGGATGCGCCATTTTATGCAGAAAGAGTCTGTCACTGGCAATTTCTCGCCTCCCTACATTCTCAAATCGTTTCTGTGGTATTAGAATTAACACATGTGATGGACAATCTTTTCTCATGCTCTGTGTTTACATGCCTCCCTTCCTCCTATACCGATTACCTAAACACGCTTGGTGAGATACATTGGCTCATCGATGCTCACTTCCATACTGGAATCTTTCTAGTTGGCGACTTCAATGTGGACTTTGATCGTTGCGGTCCACTTGAAAAGTTGTTGTCTGATTTTATGCTGGAACTAGATATGTTGTCTGTTGATGTAGGTCATAGAAGTTCTATCACGTATACTTATGAACGAGATGATGGCCTGAGTCGCTCTTGGATTGACCACATTGTATGCTCTCAGTCTTGCTCTTGGTTTCCGACATATCTGCAAATCACTCTGGGTCTAACCTCTCTCATCACTCCCCTCTTCTTTTTGTCATCAGTGCTACCTGTGAGCCATATAGCTACTCCCCCATGTTCTCCTTCCTGTTCCTCTGTGTCTCCTCCAAAGATAAACTGGTCCAAGGTAACTTCTGCTGATGCTGATCGATTATGTGACATGGTCTCCAAACATCTCCCCAGTTTCGCACAAGAAGTTGCAACCTGTTCAATCCATGACTGCTCAGTTCATCACAAAGCTCTTGACTCATATACTCATTCGCTTGCTGGAATCTTGTTCCCTTCTCTGCTTCCCTTCCTGTGCCTCCTCTTGTGCTTCTCTCCCATAAACTACCTGGTTGGAAAGATGGTACTGGCAAGCTCCGGGAGATGTCCGTTTTTTGGCATAGGGTTTGGGTAGAGGCTGGCTGTCCATCAGCTGGTGTACTTTTCAACATCAAGCGTAATTCTAAGAAGAGGTTCAAGTATGCCGTTCGCCGTCTAAAGCGCAGAAAAGAGTTCCTTATCCGTGAGAAGTTTGCCTGTGCCTTTGCTGCAAGGAAGAAAGATAAGTTCTGGTCTGAGGTTAGGCGGTTGAATCACGTCAAGAAGTCTTGTGCAACGAGCGTAGACGGTACATCAAATGCCCACATTTGCAGATTTATTTTCATCTAGGTTTTCAGGTGTTCTAAATAAACATTCATCTCTCCACTGGAATCAGGTATATCACATCTCCACAGTCCTGGATGTGTGGTCACTACAACCTCCCTTGCGGTGTAGACTGATCACTCCATCTCCTCTAGTGACATACAGACAAGTGGTCCCATCTGCTCCCTGGTAGACTGGTCTCCCACTCTCATCACTCCAGCCACCAACATCAGTGTTACAGCAGCAGTTGACATTATCAGTCACACACTTCATAGAAGAGTATCGATCATAAATATCAGAATAGTTGATGTAGGAATTGTTGGACAGAAAGTATCTCTCATGTTCAAATTGAGGCAGTGACTGGCATTAAAAACAAACAGCAAGGCTACAGCTGCTACGAGCACTGCATGTTTTAGTGACAACTTCATTCCTCAAAGTTTAATGGTGTGATGATTATGCTGCTGTTATAGTAAGCAGCATGAAGTGTACATAAGACCCTGAGTCAACTCACTTAATAATGGCAAAGTCTCTATAACAACAAAATATGGCGCTTATTCTTCTGAGAGTGTGTATAAATTTTGCATTAAAATCTTGTCCAGCGCACATGATTCTGTGCTTGCTAGTATATACCTGAACTGGAGGTATGCATCACTGGGCCACAGGGCAAAGAAATAAGTTCCTCCCCCTAAAAACTAATTTGGAGACACGCGTGAGACAGGTATGGCCCTCCCTGTAGCTACTGTACTCATGTACTGAATTGTTCAGGTAGAATGAAAATCACTTGAAAGTGCATAACCCTCGCCACGCACACTCACCTCGACAGCCGTCCGTTTCACCAGCTTCCCAGGCTTTCTCCGCTCCAGAATCTTAGTTTACCATGCATGCCTCTTATTGTCCACGTTTCACGCTCAGAGTTGCCGCAGTTACCGAGAACAACGGTGGACAGATGGACGGACAGACACACACACACACACACACACACACACTAATAATAACCCTCGCTGCGCATGTGCGCAGGCGAGGGTTAATAAACAGCAATCACAAGCCTGCAGTGGTCAAGGAGCGCAGAATCTAGCTGAGTCCACATGCCACAGTCGCAGTTGTTGCAGTCAAAGATGTTTGCCCCCAATGATGGGAATAGAACAGAAATGACGATACAATACATAAATATTACCAAAGTGAAGTTACGAATGAGAATAAAGTGGCCAAGTGCGTACAGTGAAGGGGGTTGAGCTAGCCGGTGAAATCCTGTGTGACAACGAAATTTGACAAACATAAATAGAAATATCACCCCAATCATTTTAACATTGCACTAATGCTATGCTGTACGTATGTAGGGCCGGGATATCGTTTGTGGCAGTGCACGACAGCTACTGGACCCACGCCCGTTTTGTAGAAATCATTCCAGATTCTGACTCTTGAATGTTGAATTAGGGTAGCTACTAGGTTTATTAGGTTTTCCCTCACTGTTGGGCTATAATAGTGGAAGCATTATCATTTTTGCTTCACTTTTGTATTCATGAACAAAATATTTATTTGCGAACAAAGCTAGTCTATTTTATGTAGTCGTTTGAATGCGCTGTTTATCCATTATACATCTGTCGCACATAATGGACTATTCTGAAATTTCACCCTATTGTAAACGTGGCACATGTGTGATTCTCGTGTTCTCCCTCGCCAAACTTGTTGCATTAATTCTAGTTCCGCCTCTGTTTCTATCTCTCTGTTGTGACATACAGATAATTATGCCGAGAGCAGTTTGTGACTCTCCACAATGAGCCCATTCTGTCAGACCTGGCTCAGTTCCTGGAGCACAAGTTTGGAGATCTCACGTGAGACACAAACCTTACTCTCTTCAGGAATATGTAACTGTGTGATGAAGGTCTACGTGACTGAAACATCTTTATCTTATAGCCATGAAAAGCTTGTTATTTGGAACATTACTTTTACATAGCAATGAGCCTTTACATTAGACTCCCTCCTTCCTTTTACCTCTCTCTGAGCACTGCCTGCTGTAGGGGTAGCAAAGCTCAAGTCGTCCTTTTAAAGTCAACGTGAATGCCCAGAACAATTTCTCAACGGGTCGCAAATTCTGAGATTGATAGGTTGAGTCAGCTTGCGATCACGCGAATGCACACGCATACACCATCCACCCCTTGTGAACTTCCTTGTATGCCTCGATTTCAAAACCTTTGTACTACTGCAGGTACAGAGACAACTCGCTAGAGAAGAGAAAAAGGATTCAGAAATGCAAATTCAGAGATCCTTTTCCTACAATTGGTGCGTCCAAATTTCGTTATTTTTTTTTATTTATGCTTTCTTTCTTTTAACTGTCCACATTATTCATATATAACTCAGGTGATTTGGATCTAAATCAAGTGTTAGACTCTACTTACTTCAGTTGACAGTCATTTCATGTTCCTCATACTCATATTTTCATCCCACACATCAACAGGATAATTATGGCTGTGCAAATACACATGAATTTCTAGTTCTATTTCTGACTGCTTTTGTAAATGTTTTAACCTACACAGCAACTAATATTCATGCAAATGGCTCTATACTATGCACTGCCAAAATCGCTAAACTAAAACTAATAAATTAGTTAGCTTTTTAGTGTATTCAGTTACATCACAGTGGATGCAGTGGCAACATTTCGAGACAGAGGTAGTTTAACAGCTGTTTGCTTCAGAGGCTGATTAATCACTTCATATTCTGGTTCCTCTCTTCTTATTGCTGGTACCACTCCATAGGCTGTGTTACTGTGGGTCTCCACCTTCTTACTGTATGTTGATCTGTAAAGACAGCAAGGGGCATTGTTTAGCTAGCTAAACTAAACCAAAGTCCAACCTAACACAACAAACCATGTTACGCTCTGTGAAAACACTAATACCTGTTGCAGATGCAAAATATGGCAATGACAAGGATCTGACAGAGTATTATTCCTCCACCCACTCCTCCAGCTATTACTGCAGTGCTCTCAGCCCTACAAAGGGTGGATGGTGGAGGGGGCTAAGATTGGGGGGGATTGTTGGGGAACGGGGGGGGGGAGGGGTGGGGGAGTAGGAGTGAGGGGGTGGGTGATGGGGGGTAGTGGAAGGGTTGGAGGGTGATGAGGACTTGGTGGGGTAGGGGAATATAGGTATGATTAACGGAAGGAGGGGCAGGGTATTAAAGGGGAGTTAGTGGAAAAGGAGTAGAGGAGGGGTAAATGTAGAGGGGGTAGAGGGGGAGGCAGGTGAGTGAGTGGTGAGATGGTAGGAGGGGGTGTGGAAGGGTGAGGTCGAAGGATTAAGATTGTGGGGGATGGTGAACTTGGGATGATGGGGGTGAGGGCGTGGGGGGGTGGGTGGGCTTGGTGGGGTTGGAAAAGGAGATGTTTGAGGATGGGTAAGGTGGGTTGCTGAGAAGGTGGTTGGGGAGGGAGGGGAGAGTGGTGGGTGGGAGGGAGGGGGGGGGAGTGTCTCAAGGGGGGAGTAGAGTGATGCGAAGGAGATCATGGGAGGGAGAGGAGTGGATGAGGAGGTGTAGGGAGTGAAGTGGAATAGGGGAATAGGCAGTGGGTTGGGGTGGAGAGTACTAGACAGGAATGATATGTATAGGCTGGGGAGGGGGAAATCGATGGGGCTGTGAGGGTGGGGGGGATCTGGCGCGACGACGGGGTGGGGTGGATAGTGATTATAGGATGGGGGAGGCGGTGTGGAGTGGAAGAGAGGTAGGAGAGGGGGATAGGGGGGAGAGGGTTGGTGGTTGGTTCGACAGCCGGGGGAGGTTACTGGAATCGGTGGGAGGGTGGGGGGGTGGTGGATGAGGTGAATAAGATGTGTGGGAGGGGAGGGGTTGATATAGGCATGATAGGGTGGTGACGGTGTGTGTTGGGTTCGAGGATATCTGGGAGAGAGGGTTCTGGTTGGGGAGGGGCGTGTGGCTGGTGGGGGCGGGGGGGCTAAGAGAGATTTTGGGTGGGGGTGTGACGGGAAGAATAGGGTGATGTGTAAAGTGTGAGGGGGTAGGGGTGTGGGCATGGGGGGGGAATTAGGGTGTTGGTGTTAGGTTGCGTTTGGGGTGGTGAGGTGTATTTTTTGGGGGATGAGTGGAGTTAAGCTGTAAAGAGAGTTGGTGGGGTTGTTGTTCGGAGGAAGTTTGGTGTGTGATGTTGTAATGGCGGGGAGGTGATGTGGTGACTGTTGTAGACGGAGGAGGGGGGTTCGGGGATTAATGAGAGTTAGGGTGGGGGGCCTGGGTGGGGGGGCTCCTTGTCAACATCTGAGATGTACAGAAAGTCTATATTATATAGCCATTATAGTGTTTGGATCAACTCACCTTTAGTACATGCACACATTTCACTGACAGGAGTAGAAGCGACCGTGGTGGTGAGAGTGATTGTTGTAACATTGCTCCATATCTGAGGTACAAAAGCCTGATAGACATTGAGTTTCGTTTGATCGCACTCACCTTTCACAAATGTGGACATTTGACTGACTGGAGAGGCAATGACCATATGACTGGTGGGAGTGGTCGTAGGTGGTGCCAGTGAAAACCATTGTAATGACAGTAGTTGCGGTAATTAGTGACTTGAGAATTAGCGCTAGACTCAATGATGGTGTAGTGTCTCTCGACCAGCCATAGTCGTTGTAAGTGCAGTGACAGAAGAAGTGAGCGCTATAAAAACATAGATTAAATGGTGGGGCAACAATAATTTAAGGTATCAGCGTTTCACCTCTGGTGGTGGTGAAGGGGCTAATGAGACTAGTAGTTTTAGCACTTGTAGCAGTGTAGTAACATAAATAGTGGCAGGACTGGAAGCCATTGCTGCACCAATATGTGGGTAATGTAAGCAGGTGGCTGGAAGGAGGTAAGTGACTCACCTTGAATGACAGTGATAGGTCCACCAGAGGACTGGGTAGGTGAGGTGACAGAGCCACTATGGAGATGTAGTAGGTGACTCCTCTTTGAAGACCATCCAGTGAGTGTGTGTCTGTCTCTCCTCCAGACACCCTGTCACTGATGACTGGTCCTCCCTTAGGCTGGTAGTAGATGACACAGCCAGTGACAGGATCACCTGGTGACTCCCAAGACACAGTGATATTAACATGTGTACTGTTGGACTCAGAGATGACTGCAGTAAGACCAGTGGCTCTCCTGGAGCTGTGTTAAACAAGCAGATAGCAAACGGAATTAAAACTATTTAGCATTACCAGATATATTTAGGGTGCCATTAACTTGGGTAACAATACTCCATGTTGAAAGTAATCTCTAATATTATTGCTGATGGTACAGTTGTAGGTCCCATTTCTCTTCCTCTCACTCTCAATCTGTTGTCATACACAGAGTTGAGAGATGTGTCCAGTATGAGCTGACTGGTCTCATAATATCTGTCTTCCTGTAGTGGGACTCCATTTACTGTCCAGTGGACAGTGTGGCAGGTCCTCCATGAGTACGGCAGGAGATAGTGAATTCAGAACACTTGCTCTGAGCTCAGTGTGTACGTGAAGTTCATTGACCGCAAGGCCAATTGTCCTGTATTGATGGTATAGAAAAGGTAAACATGGTATATTGTAAAGTGTGAATACCAGAAGGTAGTATAAGAAATGGCTCACCATGTGATCTCTATGCGATGTAGGCATAGAGGCTCTGCATCTCTCCACTGGAATCAGGTATATCACATCTCCACAGTCCTGGATGTGTGGTGAGTACAACCTCGCTTGCGGTGTAGACTGATC